TTACACAAAAACTATATAACTATATATATCGACATGATTATTACTTTAAGGGGGTCTTCTCATTCAAAACCCGTTTTTTGGAACCTTTTTAAAAAATTCTTATTTGAAAATGCAAAGAATAATTGAAAACTTTTTTTATTTATTGTATTAAAAAATGTTCAACGTAAATAAAAAAATTGTTTTTGCCTCGATACGAGGGTTGTTTAAAGAGTAATGAGACTTCAAACTTGGTGGTAGAAAAGAAAGGTGTCGTCCTGGCGGCCATGATTCAGGGTTTCTAGAGCGTCCGAAATAAAAAAAAAAACGGGGTTATAATCAGAATAGATGTCATTTTCGGGTGACGGAACAGATTAAAAAAAAAAAATTTTAAACAGAATGGCGGCTATTCGATTTCGGGCTTTTTTTTTTTTTGTATTTTAGTGTAAAAAAAATAGAAAAAAAATTTTTTTAATCTGTTCCGTCACCCGAGAATGGTGATAATTCTGCGTCGATTCCACTTTGTTTCATGAAAATCGGTTTAGTTGAACTGGAGATATCATGGCCGCCAGTTCGAAAAACGTGGTTTCGAGATAAACGCGTTTGAAGTTTGAAAAAAGCTCATTTTGCGAAGACCTTGCTTCACAAACAAGGCTGTATCTTCTAAAGTATTTCGAATTTCTAAAAATCCTTTTGGGGACATATACACAACATCCCAAGCTATAAATAAATGCAAAAAAAAAAAAGTTGCCCAATGAGAAGACCCCCTTAAATAATAGGCACATTCATAAACTGTAACCCAATCCGAAAAAAGGGAATTGGGTTTGGGCTTGCACAGGTAAATCGCTACCTGCCAGGTGTTCATTTTTTGCACTTTTTTCTGGCTAATGTAGTCTATATCTTTTTTGGATGGGCTGAGCCACATACTACACTATAACTACGACCTTTGTGGATCTATTCTGGACCAAAAACAACTTACATCTGCTGCGTCTGCGGAAATGCAACAGCATAAACCAAAACAATTTAGGGTTAAATATACCAAAATACCGACACAGCTTCATATTAACAAAAAAATATACTAACTGTTGCGCGCAAGGTTTTGTGGCGGTTAATTTGAATTTGTTTGTTTTTTTTTTGTTTTGTATAACAAAACAATTAAACGGTCCTTTAAAATTGCTTTTTTTTAATGAAATTTGAGGTTTTTAATTTATACCTGATAGTAGGTAAATTATACTTCCAAACGGAAAAACTAATTGTTTCTTTAAGACAACAGGTAAACACTGAAATCATTTTTTGGGTTTTCCCAGGTAGGCAATATTTTACCTAAAAACTGCATAACATGAATTTAGGGCTTATATACAAAAAAACAGAGGTATAACAGGTGCCTGGGATAACTCTTTCATTTACCCAAAACCCAACAAGTACCTAAAAGGAGATAAATCGGGTTATATATTGCGAAATTTTATGATATCCAGCATGAGTCTATCAGTGAAAGTTCACAAGACAAAAGGGCAATTATCAATCACGGAAAACTGTTCGAAATCCTTCGGAACACTCAAGAATATGGAGATTTCGGAGAAGACTGTTTTAGAGAGCTTGAATTTTTACTATGGAGATTTAAGAAGCAACTTTGAAGTGGAAACCAATCTTCGCTTAATTCACAAGACGCTCAGGAGGAAGTGGCAGGCGGTACATCGAAACCTTTCACGATTCTTAAACAAATACAAGGACTGGCTTCTGGAGGATCGCAATTTACAAACACACATGGAAGATGATTCTGATGATGAACCTAGCACATCTACTGAAAGAGGAAGACCATCGAAAAATATGGAGGAGTGCTCGGATTTCACAAGAAGGAAGATTTCTGAGGCCACCGCAGTATAACCACTGGAAATTTGTCGGAAGCATTGGTCATAAAATATGTAAAAAATCATCAAATTACTAAATCATCCATTACGAAATCTGTTGCTATAGCAAGCCCTACTCGGCTCAAAAGGAGCTAGCATAATAAAACTCAGTGATGAAGAGGCCTTGGCCGTTTTTATGGACTTACAATTATCCAAAGAAAAGGATGAAGTATTGCGAGCGTGTTTAATACAACATGGGGCGGATATATTACCTGGATATAAACGGATTACGGCCGCAAAGAAAATTTCAAGACCAATCAATACAGAGATTACTGAAGTCTCTCTGAAAGCTACTTTGCAGGATCTGATGAATCACACGGATCAACGTTGACTAAAGAGTCTTCCGGATGATGTGTTGGACAATTTACCAGAAAAGGTGGAATTGGTCAGTAAATGGCTGCGATGGATCTTCTGGACAAAGCATTTATAAACAACCAATAAGGACAGATGATGAAACAATATCAGACGGGAATTTGTTCATGGCATCAGTTGTTCCTTTGCGGCTTAAATCAGAGAAATTCCTACATTGGAGAAATAATAGGCCTTCATCAGTTCATTATTGCCGTCCAATAATGTTTCAATTCGCACGAAAATCACCGGAACTAATCAAGACAACAGTGCAAAATATTCAAAGAGAAATAGATGATATTAAACCCATCATTCTGGAGATCAGGGAAGGAAAACATGTTGATCGCAGCTTCGAGTTTCACTCGACTATGGTCGATGGAAAAATGGTGGATGAATTAACCAACACCAAATCCACTTTAACATGTCCAATCTGCAAAAAAACTCAAAAGGATTTCGGAAGCTTGGAGAATTCTATAACCGAAGAGGCAAACTACAACTACGGAGTCTCACCTTTACACGCTCGGATAAGGTGTATGGAATTTTTGTTGAACTTGGCCTTTACCCTTCCACAAGACAACGAAAACTGGGATAATAATAATTCAACAAACAAGGAAAAGGAAAAGTTTAGGAAATCTCGCATACATGTAGCATTTTCGAAGCACCTTGGATTCAAAGTAGACTGCCCGAAATCCGGATATGGAAACTCAATGGATGGAAATACTTCTCGGCGATTTTTCGAAAATTGCCATGTTGCGGCAGAAATCACTGAAATTGACGAGGAAATCTTTCAAGGATTGGGTACGATCTTGAATGTACTTAATTGCAAGGAGAAAATAGATTATGTGAAATATGGGGAATACGCTTTCATCACAGCTTCACTTTTGGATGAGAACTATCCACATAAGAGATTGACTCCGACAGTCCACAAAATTTTGGAACTTGGTAAAGATATAATTGAATATCAATCCTTGCCTATTGGAGAACTTTCAGAAGAAGCTCAGGAATCGCTAAATAAATACTACAAGAGGTATAGATACTGCAACGCTTATAAGTCATCCAGGCTTAGGCAAAATGAGGACCTGTTCAATATGTTAGCTGAATCATCTGACCGGTTTATTGCATCTCTGCGGCATGTTAAGTCGAGAAAGGATATAGAATCAAGTGATTATAGTCCAGAGATGCTTGAACTATTAGAAATTCCCCTAATATAGACCTATTTGTTAGTTAACAGTAGTAAAAATGACAACAAAAAAAATAAATAAAAAAAAATTTGTTTCACTTTTCAAAATATTTTTATTTAAGCACATACATAAAAATAAAGATAAAAAATTAAATAAAAAATATTTTAAAAAAATTGCCTTCATTGAAAAAATTTTTTTTTTTCACTTTGACACCCTATATATAGGCGAATGTGTGGGCGTGGTACATTTTCCAGTACATATGTTCATTTTACAACAATTACCTGTCAAATGGCGTTTAAATTATTTTGTTATCTTGTTTTGTTCAAAAGTTATGATTTTTGCAATGTAAAATGAGAAAAGGCACTACTGTGGAACTGCCGAAACTTTTCTTCGCGGCAGGCCACCGTTTACTGTTGGCTCTGCGACCATATCGCTCATCCTGGATGTGCCGATCTGGGGCAAATTGGACCGCGTATCTCCGATCGCATTCAAGTTAATGCCGGATTGGACTGGACGTGCCCGAGCTGCCTGCATATCATATTCATGAGGCAAACTCACCTGGAGTTTCAGTTGTCGGCCTGCTTCAAGGATTTGTCAACTCGTTTCCAGAAGGCGGAATACCACTTTAAGTCGTTAAAACTGCTAAGTGACTCCTTAAACAAAAAAAATGAGTTACTATTCTGATAATTTCTTATCTCTTCCAGACCCTGCAAGCCACCTTATGCAGTTCAGCCCACGTGCCAAGCCCGTGGCCGTGGAAAATGGCTCTGGTGAAGATGCTGCATCGGTCACAGCTCTCGCGGCTAAGCTTCCCGCCCAACCTCGATTTAAATTTAAATCAAAAATTAAAAAAAATTAAGTTATTAGTTTGATTGGTTTAATTGGTTTAATTAATTTGATTGATTTGATTTAATTATTAAGGCGAGGCCGTGTAAGGTCGCGCTGCTGGCAGGCGGAAAAAGGTCTCGGAACTGTCCAATTTCCAATTCCCCGCTTAGGCGGTGTCCCGAACAAGGGACTTCGGGGACCGAGTTGGGGCGGTATATCCCCCGTCGTAGAGCCAGGGGGAAATCCTTGGCCAGCGTGGCAGCCCGGCGCTGACCGACAAGTCGGCTATAGAGGAGGAAAACCCCTTCGAGAGCAGATCAGCACTGGCGAGGTCGCCAATGGGCAAACTGCTGCAGGAGGTCTAATCAAAAATGATGGACAAATCGACGCTGCATATTACATTACCGTGCCGATAAGAGAGATGATCGCTAAAGTGAAGACCCTGCACTCGAGCATACTCAAGGCAAGCAGAGCGGCCGCGACAGGTGTCAGCGACAGGCAGGAGAGCCGGGTCGCGAATAGCCTGTGCCTAAAATGCGTTCAGAACACGCAGAGCGTCGACAAGGATGTCCGCCTGGAAGAAGGAGGCATCGGTCCAAGCCGAGCCCTAGAGAAGGCTAAGCCAGACGGTCGTGCCGGGACTACCCTCACCAGTGCTGGCCCCGTCACCCACATACCATGTACGATGGGGTTCTACGACTCCCGATGCCCAGCGACACCACTATCGTAGGCTTCGCCGACGATGTAGCGGTGGTGGTAGATGCGAAGGAGCGCACGGCTGCAGAAGATAAGGCGAATGCTGCGATCAAGGCGATCGAATTGTGGCTCTCAAGCGCTGGTCTGGAGCCTAGCGGCGCACAAGACTAAGGCGTTCCTTCTTTTGAGCCGGAAAAAAGTGGAAACGCAGAGGGCAGTAAAGTACCTTGGTGTTCTCCTCGACACGAGGCTATGCTTCAAGGAGCACCTCCAGTACGCTCAGAAGGTCAGTGGAACTGCAGGAGCACTCGCCCGGATGCTGCTAACCGCACGAGGACCCAAGCAGAACACCAGGAGGCTGCTGGTAAGCGTCGTCACCTCCCAACTGCTATATGCGGCGCCGGTGTGGGCTGAGGCGGCGGGGAGTCGAGTCATTCTCAGCTAAGCTGATAAAATCCGTCAGGTCGCTGGAGAGAGGGAGGAACGAGCTGAGCGGCCTTCCATTGTGCGAAGCATTGCTTTGCGGCCGTAGCGCACAATGGGTACGGGCCCTTTGCCCCGTCAATGTCGTACATATATAGTATTGTAAAGTGTAGATAATAATAATAATAAACGAATATAAAAAAAAAACAGTCATAACTGGAGGAACACATAATTCAGCGACCATCACCAACCCCAACAACAACAACATCGACATCACCAATACCCTCCCCAACACCTGTGCATCCAATTTGCCTCTTGGGGTAAACCAAGAGGATATTGACGCCCTAATTAGGGATATTGAGGAGGATCCCTTGATGGTGGCATTCAACGGATGCCGCATTAAGACTAAAATGAGCTTCAATGCATTACCGGTGAATGTCCCATTCGAGATACATTCGGGGAAGAGGGTGAGTGGGAAGTTTGGCTCGAACATAAAGTTGGAGCTAGACTTCCACTATGTTTACCTCCCAGAGAGGTTTAATGAAATTAATGACAACGAGATAGAAAAATTTAGGAATAGAACCTATATGTTAATAAAGTTTGAGGATGGGAATGCAAATTTGTTTCCAAAAATGTAAAAATTTAATAAATGTAAAAAATTAAAAAAATAAATAAAAAATATAATATGAAGAGTAAATTAAAACATTTTTTATTTGGGGAATGGGAAACATTTTTTTTCAGCTGAAAAGATTTCAGCTTAAAAATAATATAAAATAATATACAAAAAAATACAAAAAAAATTTTATTTGATATTGGGAAAAAAACTTTTTCAGCATTTTATTTTCAGCTAAAAAAAATAATAATAAAAATACATAAATAACTAATTAAATAAAATAAATTTTTATAAATTTGATATTGCTAATTTGTATTTCAATTTCAGGTCTTTTTTCAGAATGTTCAGGTCAGGAGCTTTCGTTTCCCCCCCGCGCGACTCCGAAGCGCTCCTGCTTCCTCAAAGCTCCTCAGCGCGCTCTCACTCCTCAGCGCGCTCTCGCTCGCAGCTTGCGCTCTTGCGCAGCTTGCTCTCTCGCTCTTCTAGCGGAGGCTTTTCGACTCTGGGCGATCGGCGGGTCCAAACTCTCACTCCAATTTGTACATTAGATTAATTCCTAATTAGAACTCGAATAAAGCGGATCATACGATTTTATATATATTGAAAAACACCACGCCCCCCCCCGGCCTACTTTCTTTGCGTTTGGTGGTGATTTTTCTCTTGCGCGATTTCGATATTTCTACTCCGGTGTTCTTTTCACTGACTGCGGCGCGGGAAGTGTTTTTTTGTGCCTATCTGGAAATTGAAGGAAGTTTTCCCCCCTCGAGCCGAACATTTTGGTCCTCCAGAGCCGGATTTGTGGATTTTTGGATTTCCGGATTTTATTGGATTTTTGGATTTTTGGATTCCGGATTTTTTTCCTTCCACACCAGCAGTTCTCGGCGTTTTATATTTTCCAAGATAAGTACGAATTATTCCGTCGCCCCCTCACTGCCGGTCTTCAGCAGTAGTCCGAACAATTAATTTCGGTCACTCTGCTGCAAGATTAATTTCCGTGTCGACTCCAAGAGCGAGTTTTCCTGACAACGGCAGTTGAGGAATTTTCCATTTCGTTTTTCCATTTCCTACATTTTGCAATTTTCAATCCGTCTCCGTTTTGATCGTCGCCATATTCTTTTTCGTCCGCTTTCCTCTACATATTGGCATATATCCGTACATCAATGTACAAAACGGTTCCGACAGAAAATTAAAATTCATACATACATATGTCCGTACATCTGTCTACATAAAGACATTGATTTTATTTTACACAATATAAAAAGACAAAATTATTAAGATTCCGATAATAAAAAAAAAAAAAAAAATTACAAATAATAAAGAATACAGTCCGCTGCTAATATATACACATATATTATTATATTATTCCATATTATATTTTCTCCAGGTCAAATATATATGATTCCATATTATATTTTTCTACATTCCACATACATTTACATACAACATTAAAAAAAATAAAGAGAACCAAGAAAATAAACCATAATAAATAAAGAATAAAATATTAAAACAAAATTTTATAAGCCAGTGTCCGTCTTTTTTCTGAATTTTATTGGTGCGCTATATACATACATACATACATAACCAAGAGCTTTACATTCTTTACAACGAACATTGAATTGAGAAAAAAAAGTGCCAGGTGTTCCGATCCCACCATTCCGATCGAATTACTTTTTCCATACAATTAATAATTTTTTTTGTTAATAATTAACGAATTAATTGCGCATTTAATAATTTTTAAAGTTTTGCACGCGATAAATATCAAGGGTACTCCATATATTTTCTTTGCATTTATTGGGTTATTATTAAGTACGAAAAATAATAAACAACTCGGCAATTTCATTCCGCAATTATTTATACATATAAATAAATTTCCATTCTCGTCGCATTTGCTCCAATTAAGATTGGCTCCATTATAAAGAAATTTTCCATTCTCGTCGCATTTGCTCCAATTAATATTGGCTCCATTACAATTGATTTTGATTCTCGTCGCATTTGCTCCAATTAATATTGGCTCCATTACGAATAAATTTCCATTCTCGTCGCATTTGCTCCAATTAATATTGGCTCCATTACGAATAAATTTCCATTCTCGTCGCATTTGCTCCAACTAACATTGGCTCCACTACGAATAATTTTTCGATTATCGTCGCATTTGCTCCAATTAATATTGGCTCCATTACGAATAAATTTCCATTCTCGTCGCATTTGCTCCAGCTAATATTGGCTCCACTACAAATAATTCTACGATTTGAATTTTATTGGTTAATTCCACCATCCACCATCTACCATCCGAGTTCTACGGCATAGTCCTGCCATCCATATTCGCTTTGTTTTTACCGTCTCACATTTCTATTTCGGCGTTTTTAGTTGACGGTATTGACCTCAACTAAGTCTAACATTTGAATTCTACGGCATATTCTTGCCAATCCAATCAAAAAAAAAAAAAAATGTCGGAAGGACAAGAACCAATTCCGCAAGACGCGAGTCAGAAGAAGGAGGCAGCACAGTTAGCGCCTCCAATCGAGGGAAGTTCGAGGCGGGAACCGAGTCCGAAAAACACGGGCGCGGGACCGTCAAGTAATTTGAGATCCAAATCCAAGGGCACGTTAGAAGGTATTTTGCTTGAATTCATAGCAACCAGCGACCGTCTTGTCAAATATGAAAGCCAGATATTTACGGCATCCTCTTCCGAGCCTAGTCTGTTTACCTTAAAGGTCCGTCTGGATCAGACACAAGCCTTATGGGAAAAGGTCGAACGGGAGTATGAAACCGCTTCCAAAACGGCTCTTCGCGAAGGTAGCGGAAATCTTCCGTTACTGCAAAACAAATATGAGCACTGCTATGCGGTGTTCGAAAGATGTGCTTCGAAGCTAAGTGAAGACATCGCCCGTATGTCCGTCCCCACTTCACCGCCAAGAACAGCTCCGCCGACAGAGACATTCTCCAGGGGTTGCAGTCTTCCGCCATGCGATACCGAGATCTTTGACGGAGATTATCTGCGCTGGCCCACCTTTCGTGACCTGTTTACGGCCATCTATGTAAACAATTCCAGGTTGACTCCAGTGGAAAAGCTTTTCCACTTAAACGCCAAAACTAGCGGTGAAGCTCACGCCATTGTGGCCAAGTCTCCGCTGACCAATGATGGGTTCCAATCCGCGTGGTCAGCGCTTCAGGATCGCTTTGAAAATAAGCGATTGTTGGTAAACAGCCAACTAAAAATCCTGTTTAGTCTTCCGACCCTAGGCAGTGAATCAGGCACGGCCTTGAAAGATCTGCAGAGCACAATCCAAGGGTGCTTGATAGCCCTCGAACATTCACAAATTTCCACGGAAAATTGGGACTGCCTTCTAATTTTTCTAATCTCCTCCAAGTTGCCGAAGGTCACTCTCTCGTTATGGGAGCAGTCCTTGACCAATAAGTCCGCGATCCCAGCCTGGGAAGAAATGAATTCCTTTCTCGAGGAGAGATATCGGACGTTAGAAGCAATTGAGGATGTCCGACCCAATTCTTCCAGCACACAGAATTCAAGGGAGCCCAGAAGTACACAACCAAGGAGGGTAAATACCTTCGAGACACAAGTCGGGCCACACGCACGATTTTGTGATCTCTGCTCCAGAGAGCCTCATCCAGTCCGGCTTTGTCCGCGTTTTTTGCAGATGACTCAACCACAAAGAGCATCATACATTAGACAGAAGAGACTGTGCCTTAATTGCTTTGCAAGGGGGCATAATCTTCGTGAATGCCCGAGTAGGCATAGTTGCTTCACATGCAGGGGACGGCATAATACGCTCTTGCACAAAGACACTCCGTCTAACGCTGTTAGCACAGCGCCGGCTCACCCTCCAGAGCAGCCAATCTCAAACACGTCAGTTCATTTCGCCTCCAACCAACAAGGAGTACTTCTAGGTACGGCCATAGTGCATGTGTGCCACCGAGGAGAGAAGTTTCCAGCACGTGCCCTGATAGATTCAGGCTCCGAAGGCACTTTCATTTCTGAGAGGCTTGCCAACCGGATTAAACTTCCATTTCAAGCCGTAACAACAAAAGTCACAGGGCTCAACCAAGCCAATTCCGGTGTCTCACAAAAAATGTGTCATTTCCAGATGGGCACTCCGGCCAAACCTATGCTCAAGATCGACACGACGGCGTTTGTGCTGCCGAACCTGGCCGGCAATCTTCCGACAAGCACAATTGACCGAAACATTGATAGGCTGCCAAATATGCCATTGGCAGATCCGTCGTTTTTCCAGCCGTCTCAAATAGACCTTCTTCTAGGTGCGGATATTCTTCCGTCTGTCCTGTTATCGGGCTGGAGGCCAAACGTATGTGGGTCCTTATTAGCGCAAGAGACCATTTTCGGGTGGATTTTGACCGGCCCAGTGTCTTCAACCACTAGCAGGGTTTCATCT